TATGGTAAAAATTTATTGTTAGGAACAGATAATAAAAATGTTCATATAAACTTTATTGTTGCTGTTTAACATATATAACCGGTCCTCATTCTAATTTCTGAATAATGTCACTCATTATCCCTGGCAAAGTAAACTCCCTTTTATGAAAGAATGTGCTGCAAAACTGTCGGAATTTTTTTATCAACTTTTTATATGATTCCAAATTGGTTAATGGTCTTAATTTCACCTTTAGGTGGAGATTTGGCTGCTGATGTTACTCAACTGTCTGGTCAACCTGTTAAAGACTCTTCAACACTAGAGAGTCTTCTCAAGAAACCTCACATACAATATGAAGTTCTTGATAAGCATGGTTTTGGAAACAAAATGTTATCCAGAGTAGAGAAAGAATGTGTTGAAATTGATATAAAGTATGAGGGCTTCATTTTGCGCCAGCAAATCCAACTCCAGCAGGTAAGCTGTCAATATTTAAGTGTCATCCAAAATGATGTTTACTGGAGCTCATTGTATTCCATCCTTTTAGCTGTCCACAACTTCATTTTTTGAACATATCACATTTTTTTGTCAATTTGTATTTTGTCCAATCACTATACCTTTTCACTTGTAGATGGTCCATCAACAGAATAGACCACTTCCAGAGGACTTGGATTACTATGCAATGACAACATTATCTCTTGAAGCACGTGAAAAACTCTCCAAGGTTTGTAGCATAAAAAGTTTAGAATACATACAAACTTCTAATATTTTTCAAATCTTACTAGCAATTGGTGCTGGATTGTCTTCACATCTATCTAAAATTGGGATCTATATCAAGTGGTTATTGAACCGTGCATATATGCATGTGGGTGTTGTATGCACAAGAAGATTAGACGTTGGCAATTGGTGCCTCTCTAACCATTGAGTTGGTATGTTACTTTGATAAAGATGATGTAGGATAAGTTAGGATTAGTTTGTCTACTAAGGGATTTGGTTTAACCTAGATGAAGTTCATTTGTTCCAAATATACTGCAAATAAAATTCATAAGAAATCCACCTAGCTTTACTTCAAAATAGATTGCAATACTTATTTTTACCTGAACATATTTATTTATATCGTTTCTTTTAAAAATATTTATTTGTAATTGATTTTCATTTCTTTTCTATTGAATTGGCAATGACGAACCAAACCTCACATTAGAGAAAAGAAGAGAGGAAGAGGTTAAGGTGTTGCAGTTAGGAAAGTATACTCATTTAATTCAAGTAGGAATTGTTATATTGCACTAAAGCCTCGTGGATCCTGCAACTGCTATTCTTATTAATTCTAGTCGGATTTAAATGCTTACAGGTCAGACCCCAAACCATTGGTCAAGCTAGCAGAGTTGGTGGAGTAAGCCCCGCTGACATTACTGCTCTTCTCATTATCCTCGAAACCAACCGAAGAAAAGCTCAGGAACAGAGGAGACAGCAAATGGAAGCTTCTGTTATGACAGATGTGGATCAACACGTACCTGAAGTTCCTCTCACAAGAACTGCTAGCACCTGAGACATTAATAATTGAACTGGTTGTGTAGCCAGTTTGTCAGATTTGGAAGCACAGTAAGTTTTAATGATTTATCATCAGATATCAGCTGCTTGAAGAAGTAACTTGCAGATATGTTAGCAGGGATTAAATTTTGGTTTCAATCATACTGAGGTCATTCAGAACATTCAGCCATCTCAAAGACACAATCTGTTTGATGCTATGACTGGAAACTTATTTCATCCGGTAATCTGGAAACTCAGTGTTTGTTTCATCTTACAATGAAGGCAATGAGATTGAAGGTTCGTACAGATCCTCCTCATGAATTTGAATTATGAGGATTTGAGAATCACTTTTCAGGCAAATTGCCAAGATGTCAAGAGTTTCAACAATGTAGTTACGAACCGTCCGAATATATGGCTCCTTGTGTGGTCCTAATGTAATTTTACCTGTTTATCTATCACTTCAATATTATTCTTTCTGATTATTAAATGTATATAAGAAACAAATTTGTTACTTGAAATTCGTCAGATTATAGCTTTAGAAGATCAAATTTCACTCTAGTGTTCAAACAGCTTTGTGTCTCTGCATGTTAGCATTAGATTGCTACTAGATATCTTTTCAGGAAAAAGAATAAAACATTGATGATACAATAACAAATCACTGGTGAAGAAATTTTCAAAAAGCTGTATGTTAACCGTAAAGACCAAAATACTCGGTAATTGAAAATGTTGCCATACATTTTTCTTCACAAACTTTGTCATCTATTTTGTTCTTTAAAATATTCCAGTTGTCCCCTCACATGATGGAAATTTTGATGTCTTATAGAACCTCATTAACACCACACCATTAATTCTTATGCAAAGGTAGCGGCTGAAGTGGTGTTTTTATGTTGGACGTCAAGAAGAGAGTATGTAATATCCCTGGTACATAATGCATAGATTTTTAACTAAGTTTACTCAGATAATAAACCTAAGAAAAAAGGGTTACCTCAAGGAGCTGAACTTGTTATTGAAATTCTTTGTCAACATTTTCAGTTACAGTAGAGATAAGAAAGAAGAAAAGAAAATCAAATTTAATTGTCCTCTGCTCTGTATTTCAAAAAAATATATATCCTCTGCTCTAAGTTAGAATATGTTGGTACAACTATGGCCTTCTCAGCGTCTGGAACCATGGGAGAAGACTGGTCTGACAGCATCTTTGAAATCTTTGAAAAATCTTTGCTCCGAAAATTTGGCAGCTCGTCTCCTTGCAGCATCAGCCATTTTAAGTCGCTTTGTTTCAGGCAACCTTATGATTTGTAGGATGGCATCTGCATATTCTTCCACAGTCTGAGCAAGAAACCCAGTTTGTTCTCCATCTTCTTCTAAAACGATATCCATTTTTGGGCCGGCAGAGTTATGAGCTGACAACAAAGTTGAGCAATATATAAGCAAAACAAGTGCTAAATAAAAGGCATAATAATGCAAAGATATTAAACAAATTAATTCAATATGCACACCAATTGGGATGGCACCAGCAGCCATATACTCAACAACACAAATGCCGAAGTGCTCATCTATCATTGAGTGGATTCCAGCAACAGCACCTCCCAATAACCTCACCAGGTCACTGCAAATAATGAGAACTTTTCACAGTTAAATTAGGAAAGAAATCAAGTCCCTGCTCTCTAAATTAAAAGGATATACAGCTAATTAACATGGTTGTAACCTCAAAAATTGAAGAGAAACCTAAAGCAGCCAATTAGTAATCTACTGTACCACACAAACTTAGAAAGATCAGTTGTAACTGAAAAAAGTGTGGTATGAAAATGAAAGGGCACTTTTAGCAAGGAACAAATGGGACTTATATAGTCTAGTGTATTTTTAGAATTTGGATTATTAAATTTTTGGGAAATGTAACAGTTTCACCCTACCAGCAGTTACTGGCAAAAATTTACCAACACGATAACCAGCATGACCATTTACCATTTAAATACCAATATTAGTCAGTATATTTTCAGATACAAATCCATGGAGCTCAAAGTAATTAAATGGCTCATAATAAAAAAAAATTTAGATGGCAAGCACAAACCTGTACATCACGTTCTTAAAGAATTCCACATCCCCAGCCACCTTCAGTTCAACTGCCTTGTCTTTCAACTTCTGCAATCTTTCTTCATCTGATTTATTTCGACAACTACCAACAAACTGGAGCTTGGGTCTGGGAAAGTCTTCACCTAACTTACTGATGACAACTGAAAAAGCCTCAAGCTGAAGCATATGGGCCTGACATACAAGAATCAACTTCTAAAGAAAATTACAACTATTTCTCATTTTACTTTTATAGACGGATGCACACCTTCTCTGGACGAAATTGAGCAACAGATATTATTTTTGGAGTATCCACTGGCCTTTCAAGAGGAAGTACCTATTTATATTTCAAATTGTTAGCAAATGCATAGATGTCTAGTCCTAAAATCTTAGTAGACAGAAAAGGTGTACGAGTTATTAAAAAGGAAAATATAAAACAAAAAAGATCAGAACTCTTTCTAATAAAAATAAAATAAATATGTACGCATATGCATATGTGCACAGTATTACAACAACATTCTTCTCAAACATATACCACCGAACATAGCTCCATTAATTTGAAAAAAAAAAAGCAGAAACTATTAAGTTAGCTGAATTATTAACCTGAAGTCCTGAAGTATCACAGGGAGGATAGACTCGCTTAATTTGGTCAAGGATTCTCCAAAGCTTCTCAATATGGGACTTAGTCCATGAAGAGTTAACCATCGCAAGATGTGCACAGGAGCCAACAGCCCCATACATCCAGCTAAAAATTCTGTAATAGATTATTTTGCTGTGGGATAACCATTTGCTGCCACATGAAACAAGAATGTCAGACAATGAGCACAAGCACAAAAAAGTTGCATAGTCAACAGAACAAGCATGTGTACATCATGGAAGAAATCCAGAGGAACTAGTGATAGTTCAGAATAAACAGACCAATCAACAGGGCCTAGTTAGAATCTTAAGGTTGCTCTAAATAACAAATATCATCTATGCCCATGAGTGCCCTCAGAAGGGTGAGCAGACACAAGGTAGAAGTAGCATAAAAATAGTTGGTATCACAAGTAAGCATCCAACACATATTTCAATTAGAAAAAAAAGACCCTCGACACATGGTCTGTAGATATGGATAACTTGAACAGAATTGAACCTGATGGCAAGTTGCTTTAAGTATTTTATCCAAAAGAAGATAATTTAAACTTCAAAACTAGTAAATTATGCACAAAATCCATGTAAAAACATGGTTAACCATTTCCGATTCTCCACCCAACTTGTTTAATTGTTAACTCTTACATCAGTAAAACATCCCTATCTTCACATTTTAATGCAGCATTGAATATGGAAGTATACACCAAAAAGAGAGAATGTGATTTGAAACAGAGATGTCAGACCTCTGAGTGATGAAGGCATTATTATTATACATAGAGCTCCTTTCACGTACACGAGATATCATATCTAAACTGATTGTAGGATAATGGGCATAGCAAATGACCTTGCATCCAAATAATCGAGCAAGAGGATATGTAAACGCATATCCAGAAGTGTCAAAATAATATAAAGGATTAAACTTGCATAATGCTTCCCACGAAAGATAGATTGAACCAAAACTTTGCCCAATCATAGTGAAGTGAGGATAAGTAGTCTCTTCAATCCATTTCCTTCTGTACAGATGAACCACCTGGGAATTACAGGAATTCAAAAATAATTAACAAACATTTAGAAGAAAAACAAATGGTCATAGCACATCTAAATCAAACTCATCGATTACAACAGAGTTATTAACGAGAACATAAATAGTCGTAGCATAACACATAAAAAAATTAAAATAACTCGCAGGAATCAGCTTATTATTACTTTAATCGCAATCATGTTCGATTTCATCTGGTTATAAAGCAATCTTTTGTGTATTGCATAAAGTGGTACCTTAGGAGGGAAAAGGAGCTTGACCCCAAAACGATCTACGGCACGACTCGTCAAACTACTAGGAGTAGCATCATGATCGCCTGTGTAGACAACGCAGTCAAGGGCGGGATTCTCTTCTTGGATGGCTTTGACGGCACACCATAAAACTCTCTCTCCACCACCACCATCATTAGTGTAAGGATGGAAAAAGCCAACTGCTCTTTTCCTGTTCTTTCTCGCAACGATTATACGTGAAAAGAAGCTCAAAACTAACGGTATCAAAGGTGTAAGCAAAACCCAAAAGAGAAACCCATTTGCCATGGATGATTCCTTTTACCAGATCAATTAGAATTTGAATCTAACCAGAAAAACCCGAAGCTCCTTCTGTTCAACTGTTCTTCAGAGTAACGCGAAAGAAAGTCCCCTCAGTGCCCTCATGATAATCCCGATGGCATTCTATTTCTATAATCGAGAATATGTATTTACGCAAGGTGAATGTCAGAAAATGCTCGAGGGTTTCCCTTCTGTCAATTTTGCTGGAAAGCATAGCCAGAGAAGCTCCAAGCACTTCATTACAGAGTGGAGTCTGCCCTTGCCAATAGAACAATCTAACAACGGTGTCGTTTGGCATGAGCTGAGTACGTTTCTGCAGCTCTCTGTCTCTCTCGTGGTTTGGCCACTTTCGGCTACAATAAGAATAAAGAAACGGAGAAAACGATGTCGTTTGGGCATGGACTGTATTGGCTAGACGGGTTGGATTGTAGATCGGGCTTAAATTGGGCTGTGTTTAAGATTTATTTTGATTGAGTTCATAAAAGGCTGAACTGGGTTTAAATGATTTGGGTTGGGTTTCATTAGGAGCATGTTTCTTTAATGGTTTTGGGCTAAACAGGGTTAAAGAGGACTGAGTCTTTAGTTTGTATGGAGTGAAAATTGGGTTTGGCTTTGAATTTTGAACATCAGAAATAATCAAGAGGGTGAGTTTTTCTTTTCTTTTTGATACGATGATAATAATAACAAGCGATTAAGACGCCTATAGAATGTTGATCTAAATTTTGCTAACTTACTAAGAATGTGATCGTTCTCTCTCAATGTTAAGTTTTTTCCAAGTCGTAAATAATTCATGTCTAATTGTGATCCTAAGAATGAATAGTTACCCAATTTGGTAAAAAGTAATTGAAATCTATTCGGTATATGAATGGAAGTTTTAAAGGAATAGTTAATAGAAGTGATTGAAATCTATTTCCTATATTAGTGGAAGTTCCAAAGGAGTAAATAAATGCTTTGTGAAAATAATGAAATGTTTGGTTATGGAGTAAAATAGATAATACACAAAAATATCAAAAAAATCTCGGGAGATTAAATAATTTGTTTAAATATAAGATACAACTTGTCAATAAACTCATCATTTTAGATGTTAAATATTAAATATATTTTACGTATAGAGATTGATGAAGAGATTATTCTATAGATTATATATGAGAGAATGAAATTTGTTTATAGTAAATTTTTTTAAAAAAACACTCGGGGTTAAATAAAGTATCAAAGAAAAAAAAATATATCTTTTCAACCTCATTTTTTAAGAAGGTTATATTTTAATTGCTATTATTAGTACTTTAATTTTGTGTTTTTTTTTTTTTTGTAGACATTGGTCTTGGGTTAGGGAACAATTAATGTTAGCTTGACATATTGAATATCTGGTTTTTAGGTTATTTCTTTTTCAAATATTTTCTGTAAGTTTTCTTAAGGGTATTTCATTCTAGTACTGTTAATTTAGTCTTCAGCTTAATTTATGGTGTTTTCTTGGATTCTCAAATTGTTTGGTTCTTCATATAGTTTTAAGATTTTATTAATAATTCTATTTTGCTTTTTTTTTTTAAATAAGCAAACTAATTAGCCATTTGATTACAACAAAAATGATGAACAAACTCTGCTAAATAATCCAGCCAAAATTAACCTTAAAAAAACAAAACTAGAACAAGAATTTGATATATATCGATCGTATATAATATGTTTACTGCACTAATTAATTGAAAATTTTCGTTTCTAACATTGTATAAATTAAAAATACTACACCAAAAACTTAAGACACAGAAATTCTATATATATATATATATATATATATATATATATATATAACAAAATTAAAGTGGCTGCTCTGTGGCTGCAGAAGAAAGATTACAATCTAGGAGGCTATTTTCTTGACCTTCTCAAAGATGGTTCATGCTGGGGGAGATTGATTAAGCCTATAATTCTATATATATATATATATATATATATGTATATGTTATCTATAGATCTAGATGCAGCAGCAAATAAATGTACATGCATGGCTGCCAAATGGATATATACCTATAGTGTACTTACTAGCTAGCTAGGTTCCTGATCGTAAACTGCTTAAAAAATGAGATCTCCTATAGGCTAAAAGATTTGATATGGTGAATTGGATCTGATCAAAACCATGCATGCATGCATATGGTTGATCATGAGGAGGAATCCAGTGTTTACCATTATCACGTGCTTTAGAAGATGGCTGAGACATCGAAAAATTATTAAGTATTTTATAAATATAAATGAGTTGATAGTTTTTATAAATATGATTTGTAAACTTTCAACTTTCATTGAAAAATATTTGAAATGAATTAATTATATTTATAAAATCTGTCAACTCATTTATATTTATAGAATATCTAATAATTATCGGAAATAATGACAATGCACCCCTTGAATTTTGTTAGGAAAAAAAAAATTAAGGTGGTCCAATAAAAATGGTGAATATCATACCAATCGTCCTCATCAAGTAATGTAATGAAATGTTGAGATTTGCATGAGATATGATAATCCTTATGCCAAACCAATCAAGCAACCATAGAAATTGTTAAAGGCACCTCGCTCTCATGTGAAGTTACGCTAGAATTACTTGAAGAAGATGAACTGTTACTCTTCTTTCTATTAATTTTTCCATCAAAGCTTCCATCTCCACCACTTTGTTCCCCTACCACCACAGCTTCTCCAAATTGAACTCGTCTTGGTGTCATTGCTGAAGAGTTATCTTCATGATCAGGCTCATGATCAGATGTTGCAGCAGTCGCCATGCCACTTGTTAAAATATGATCGGTGGATGTCATATTCGACATGCTACCACCACCACCACCTCCTCCTATATCTCGATTGCTTCCACCACCGCCGCCACAACCAAGAATCATTCGGAAGCCAAAAGTACGCGAAAGAATTCGGTATACGAAAGTAAGAACCCAAAACAACCAAGGAAGACAAACAAGGAAAACGCCAATATAAGGGAGCCATAAGGGTGGTCTAGGGAGGAACATGTAAGATATGAGGCAACCTCCCCCAAAAATTATAGAGATAAATAAAAAACAACTGATTAGCCATACGAATGCCTGCCCGGTTCTTGGATCTGGTACAGGCATTTGGTGCTAAATAAATTTCAAAAAAAAAAAAATCAAACAATTAGATCTCCACCTTTTCATGAACATCATCCATTTTGTACATGACCGATTAAATAACTCGATCTAATTTGCTATTAACATTCATAGCCATGATATTGAAAGTAGAGAGATATTTTTTCATATGAGAAATTTAGTTGAAGA